TCTACTTATCTGATGAATCTATCTTGTTAGATGATTCTTCATTCTTCTTTCATAATCTACTTAAGGAGATTTGTTGTTGAAGGCTTCAACACTTCAAACTTCAAACTTCACAGAATCAGTGACTTGCTCAAGTAACCAAATAGATTACAATTTTAGAACTCATCATCCTCAAAAACTGATGTGAGGCTGAAATTGTAAGAATGGTGAAAAATCCCCAAAAGTATTTCTTCACACAGCCTATGGATCTTTTTCTGACACTGTTAGGTGTTTGATATCCATCAATAACAAAACCGGAGCTCTAATACCAATTGAAGGTGAGAAATAAACACAAGAAAGGAGGTATTGAATTGGGTTTATGCCTAAATAAAACTTTTTCCTTTTGTTATCTTCTTCTTTCACTTGATGCTTTATGCGCTTATATTAAATACATTGCGGAAGCATAAATAATAAAGCATACTGAAAGTAAAGAACACAACATATATCCTGGTTCACTTAGGCAACTCCCAAGCTAATCCAGTCCACCCTTCCAAGGTGATTTCGCCTTAATCAATTAAGGACTTAATCCACTATAACCGAACTGATTACAGATGCACAAGCTAACTGCAAGTGACTAACAACAGATCAATGAAACGTTCAGGGATCCCCAAGGATATAACATTCATTAACATCTAATAGAATCCGACCACTAAAGATCTCCTATTAGAAAACCACAAACGACTACTGTCACTTGTCATCTCAAGTATACTGATCTTCACAAGATCACTTGAGGAACCACTAATTCTAAAATAGAATGTTGTGTTGCCGAAGATTACAATGGCGCTTCATAGCAAGCTAATTACTCCAAGTTAAGCACATAGCAAGTAATGAGTAACAACTCCTTGCTTCCTAATGCAGAAACTAATCTAATGATGAATCTCTAAGAGATTATAAGAACATAGTTACCATATTGCTTAAAAGCTTTTCTGTGTGTGAGCACTAAGGCTTCTTTTCATTTTAAGCTTTTCTCCTTTCTTTCTTTCTTCACTTCATGCTTACTTGCATGGTAACATTTGAATGAATCAAATGTTATTTCATATAGAGCAGCTTAACAGCAACAACGTTGCTTGACTCAGCAACCCAGCAACTCAACAACATTTTTGATCAAATGATTCTTCTTTTTATATTGCAGCCAATAGAGTTGTTGTGAGGATATAGTTGTCCTTTCTCATTCCAACGGTCATATCCCAACGGATAGAATAAGCTCATGTGTTGGAATAGTGACCTTAGCTTGTAGCTTCAATATATTTAATCCTTGGAAACTACGCTTGAACAGTACCAACATCTTTACCACATTTGAATAATTGCATACGTTGTACTTCAATCTTCTTGATTCTTCTGATGATTCATTTGATGAGTAGTTCAGAACTACTTTGGTATGAAAGCTTCAACATCAGAGTTGTTAACTCAAGCACATGTTTATCAGATTGAACAGCAGCAGCTTATCGGATGTAACATGTCTTGCATCTGGATGAATCTTCTTCTGACACAATCTTCCACTTCAGAATCCAGTCTTCAGCATTCCAAGAACTAAGTTTCCTCTGAAACAATCTTGAGAATCTTCATGACTAATTCTTCAGAAATCATGTCTTCAGAATCTTCAGAGCCTTGACCTTCAGAACACTTCTTCAGAGTATTGACCTTCCGAACCTGTCTTCAGAGTCTTGACCTCAGAACCCATCTTCAGAGTCTTCAGCCTTCAGAACTTAAAGTCATCAGAGTCTTCAGCATGTTCTTTAGAGGACTCACTGTTCAGAGACGCTCGTTAGCTTCCAGATCATATGCATAACTCAGAGCAGAATCCGCTGATGCATTGCAACTGCAATATCCAACATCCTTGATTCTTTACTGAACATGATCAGATGCAGAAATAAACTTGCTTCTTCACTGAGCTTCATTTGCTTTCAGATCAGATGCACTTCTTCAGAGCATAAACCACAGGAGCATTGCAACAGCAATATCCAGCACCCTTGGTTCTTTACTGATGGTGATCAGATGCATAAGCAAACTAGCTTCTCACAAGCGCTTCATGACGTCATACTAAGTAACTCCATAAGTTACTAGCTGCCATGTTTGCTTCTGTTTGTTTGGTCTAATATATTTAATTTAATATGACCTGCACATAACAAACATTAAATCATAAAATGGTTCTTTCACAAATACTCAATTGTTATCATCAAAACATAGAGATTATCCTGTAGAGACAAATCTTGCTCTTACAAAATGGCCCTTCATAAGTGGGAGTCCATTTTCCCCTAGGATCGCCCTGTGGTAATATGATATGCTTGATTACCAAATTTCCATCCTGGTAGACCTGATGTTTGACTTTCTTATTAAAGGCTTTGATAATACGCTTCTGATATATCTGACCATGACAAACTGCTGCAAGCCTCTTCTCATCAATCAAATTTATCTGGTCAAGTTGAGTCTGAATCCATTCATCTTCCTCTAAGTCTGCATCTCTCATAATTCTCAAAGAAGGAATTTGAACCTCAACAGGTAAAACTGCCTTCATACCATAAACAAGAGAGAACGGGGTTGCCCTAGATGAAGTGCGTACTGTGGTACGGTAACCATGAAGAGCAAATGGTAACATATCGTGCCAATCTTTGTATGACACTGCCATCTTTTGCAAAATCTTCTTAATATTCTTGTTGGCGGCTTCCACTGCGCCATTCATCTTTGGTCGATATGGAGAAGAATTGTGATGTTTGATCTTGAACCGCGTGCAAAGTTCAGTAATCATAATCTTGTTCAGATTAGTACCATTGTCCGTGATAATCCTTTCGGGGATGCCATATCTGCATATAAGATTATGCTTGATAAACCGAGCCACAACATTCTTGGTAACAGAAGCGAACGAAGTTGCCTCTACCCATTTCGTAAAGTAATCAATAGCAACAAGAATGAAATGATGTCCATTGGAAGTTATAGGTTTGATCTCACCAATCATATCAATGCCCCACATTGCAAAAGGCCAAGGAGCAGTTAGAACATTTAATGGAACTGGAGGTACATGTACTTTATCAGCATATATCTGGCATTTATGACAAGTCTTGGAATGTAAATGACAATCAACTTCCATGGTAGACCAGTAGTAACCTGCTCTCAGAATCTTCTTTGCCATCATATGCCTACTAGAATGAGTACCAAATATTCCATCATGCATGTCTTCCATAATCACCATTGCTTCCTTCTTGTCCATACAACGGAGCAAAGTCGAATCGTGATTATGCTTGTACAAATTCCCATTCCTCAGGAAGAACTTGGCAGAGAACCTCCTTAGAAATTTATTGTCATTGATAGATGTCCCTTCAGGATATTCCTGAGCTTCGAGATATCTTTTTACTTCGTGGAACCAAGGCTTTTCTTCTACTCCCTCAGTATCAACCTCATAACAGTATGCAGGTTCATAAAATCAATTAATAGTAACTCTAGGAGCTTCATCATCCCCCCTGATCTCAAACATAGATGCCATGGTAGCTAATGCATCTGCCAATTGATTATTGTCATACCCCAAATTTTACCCTCATATTCTTTGATCTTGTGCATATCATTCTAAGTCAATCATGTTGCATAACTAACCAATTTATCAGCTTTGTTTGCTTTGTTTATTTTATGAATCAGGGATTGACTTCAGGAGCTTCAGATATGGCTGGATTAGGGTTGGACGAGAGGTTTTCTTTTAAGCTGGAGTTCCATTGTTCGGAATTTGCTTCTTCCTGTTGTTGTACTCAATTCTGAGGCAAGAGGGTTTCCGTTTGCTTAAGGTTTCATTGAGGATTCAGATGGAAAATCATGGGTCCAGGATCTTAAAAGAGTACAGTTTCTCACCCGTTTGTGTTTACAGTGGACCAGCATTGTTCGGTTGGGTTTTCATCTGGGTTTAGCAGGTTTAAGTGCATATGCGCAGTAGTTGGATCCTGGGCAAGAAAGAGAAAATCGTTTTTAGGATTGAATTTGGTGTTGGCCAGTGCATTATATCTGAAGATTATTAGACTGGGGTTTCGTAGTTGTCAGTTGAAGTCAAGTTGCAGGGCCTTTAAAGATGTCAAGGCAGTTGGTATATTTCAAGTGGTGTACAAATTTTGGTCGAGTGGTTTAGTTTTCTTGTTGTTGATTCAACAGTTTGAGCTTGTTTGTTTCCAGTTCATATCATTTAAAGGGAGATTTAAGGTTGTGATGTCATTAATTAGAAGATGATTTGAGGAGGACTTTCTTCGATTTAGTTCAAGATCTATTTCATTCAAGTTCATTTCAAAGCTTTGATTTCAAGTCTTTCATCTCTAGCCAATTTCAGTTTTATTCCAATATTATCACAAGTTCAAATTCATTCAAGTTTCATCTTAAGTTCTAATTCATCTTTCTAGTTTTTTAATCCATAACTTAATTCAAGTGTGAATTTCACTTCTTTTCATATTTCCTTTTCAATCAAATTTACTTCTTTTCATATTTCCTTCCCAAATTCAATCCATTTCTTTCCCTTTTTATAACCCAAGTTCCCATTCCATTATCCATTTTAATATGAATTCTACATCCGTTTACCATAAATTCCACTGTTAATATCCATTTCTTTCTTTTTCTACCCATTATTCATTTTGTTCGATTATTCATGTCGTTTAAGTTATAAAATCTTCAAAATCCATTTCATACTTCCATCTACACAAAAATTCAGCAAAAGCCCAAGATTTCCAAATTTAAATCAAGCCCACTTTGAAATTCATTACATGAAGTCACTAAAGTTCATATTTCCATCCATACAAAAAATTTCAACAATAGTAGGTCTCATATAATAAGGTCCAGCGTACCATCTCTCTCTCAACAACATCAAATCCCAAAATCTCTATGCCATAAAGCTGCTACGAGTACACAACCAAGCACTCCAAGCCAAATTCGTGAAATGATGTACCTAGGCTTCATGCTGCCAAATTCTGCACCAGAGAAAATAACCTGCACAAAACCTGCTATGGGATAAAGCACTGTTGCCATCGACATTCCCTCCTGGAACTGATCCTAGCATCGTGGCGTGCTTCCAGGTGGCAGATCAGGATGGAAGCAGTTTGATCGATAACCAGGAATTGGAGAGGGGTCTGTCTTCTTACAACCAGAGCTTCAGCTTGAGAACCGTGCACCTCCTCATTTATCACTTCACCAACACCAGTGTTAAGAAGATAGGACCCAAGGAGTTCACTTCTCTGTTTTACAACCTTCAGAGCTGGAGGGGGTATATTTGAAAGATTTGATAAGGACAGGAGTGGTAAAATAGATTCAAATGAGCTGCGAGATGCACTGTTAAGTTTGGGTTATGCTGTTTCTCCTACGGTATTAGACTTGCTTGTCTCCAAGTTTGACAAAACTGGTGGCAAAAACAAGGTTGTTGAATATGACAATTTCATTGAGTGTTGTCTCACTGTAAAGGGACTAACTAACAAATTCAAGGAGAAGGATACTGGGTATACTGGCTCTGCAACATTTTCCTATGAGGCGTTTATGCTTACTGTCCTGCCATTCCTGGTAGCATAGGATAGTAATGGTGTACATCAGTAGACTATGTAAATTTATTTTCCTGCTACAACCTATCAATACCTCAAAACACTTCCACGTCCTGCTGCATCACTCCAAAACAAAACCAACAAAACCAAAACTTACACCAGAACTGCTATAAAACAGACATTATGATGAAGCTCCATTATGCATAGATAAGAAAGCAACGAGTCAAGTTACTCCCAAAATAAAAACTGTATCGATGCACTTCCTGCCTAGGTCTACAAACCAAAATGGAAACCTCACACTAAACTGTGCACAACTAGCTGCAAAGACTTTCTCCACATTGCTGAACCTTAACCAAGTCTGCCACCTTTTCAGCATCATCTTACATCAAAGCAGGACCTGTGTATTGCTGCTATAGCACAGCCAAAACTTCTCTTAAACCTCAAATAGAACTCATCATACCAGACTACCCTTCACAAATCCATACATGTTACTTGGACAACCCACAACAGCTTGCAAGTTTAAAATGATGGTTCAACAACAGACAAATTGTAGAGGTATTAAAAAGCGAACAGAGGCTTACCACCTGCAAAATCATGCATCCCCTGTGCCAAAGGTACAACTTTTGAGCTCTGCCTCAAAAAATGACAACACCCTGTAGTTGAAAACAACATCACACCATCTGCAGCATCAGTCCAAAAAAAAAAAGAACAGGTTTTGAATTTGATTTAAGGAAGGAGAACAGAAAGAAAAAGGAAAAGAAAGGAAAAGAGCTTCCCTGATACTTGATATTTTCAACCTTCTTCCCACTTCAGAGACATCACAAATTAACAAAACCAAACATCCATAACCACCTTTAAGAAGCTTCAACAACCATTGGAAAACGGGGGGGGGGGGGGGGGGGGGGGCACTCAGACGATTCATAACAATAATTTCAAATCAAATAATAACACAATCCTTTTTCATCTTCTTCAATAAAAAACATGACCTGCAAAAACCAAAATTTGTTAACCTTCACAAATCAATTATAACAGCTTCGACCCCTACACCACCATACTTCCATCTTCTCTTCAACCTTGAGTGAATTCCTAAAATTACATAGCCAACAACCTTCATCAGTTCATCACCAGACCAAACACAAACCTTCCATGATTACCTACAACTGAATCCACTCTACCCCTCTTTGTGTTCCAACAAAAAAGGTGATCCCTTCTATCACATTAGCAACAACCTACTCCCAATCACCACTACAACAACATCAACAGCTCACATCCGCCTCAACCATCAATGACCGTAAAACTGAATCAGGAAGGAGAAGAAAGGGAAAAGCGATAGCTAAACAATCTCTGCAAATCTCGAAGCGGAACAAACGGAAGCTCTTTTTCACCATTAAATCTCTACAACCACCTTCAAACAACCTTCAATCAACAATTCACCATACCAATCTCCGCCCTCCACCATCGCTTGTAGCTCTGTCCATGAATTCACATCAAAAATGCTCTTCCACCTTCCGTCGCACCACTGTGATTGAGAGAGGAAGACAGAACTGAGGAGGATCGCGAGAGAGAAGTTGAACGAATTGAAGCCAGGAGGAACGACAAAGAGAGTTTCGGTGAGGATCAAGCTTCAATTTGAGAGGGAGGTTTTGTTAAGAGAATCACTAGAGAGAAAGGAAACGCGTAAAGAGGAAGAGAAGGGTTTGGTTTGTTCTTCCTTACCCTGTTACTTATTTATTTATTTATTTATTACTTTCACCTTTTTATTTATTTATTAAGTTATTTGTTTTCTTTTTTAATTGTTTACTCAATTTTATTGCTATTTGCTATAAATTTTTTTAGTTGGCATAATATATATAATAAAAAAAACAAAAAAACTATTTAGCTAGTATTAAGAAAACACCTAAAATATATTTGTTCTTTTAATAAGAAAATGCTTAAAATTTGACATGTATTAGTAACTTTTCATTTTGTTTGATTCTATGATTTGTGGTTAGAGTTTTGTTGATTTTCCTAATTCTAAAGAAAGGAATCCCATAGTTGACTCGTAAGTCATGTTGTATAGCTTTGTCTATCTTTCCCCCGAGACCTTGTGAGAGTCTTGTTTGTTGTAACCTAACTTAGATTTAGAGAGTTGGTTAACTCTACGTAAGTACCATGGTTATGGGTACTTCTTCCCCTTTGGAACCTTGATCGTTATCAAGAGCTCCTCGTCCCTAGTTAGGCCGAACTACGGTGGCTCTGATTCCCCTTTCCTAGTTAGGATACGTAGGCACAAGATGTGATATCTTGTCGAGCCCTCTAACCACTAACAACTAACACTTATTTCCCTCCTTTTGGTCTCGTTAGAATCAATTGGTTTTGAACTTATATTTAGGTAGAGTTAGTAAACTCTATGTGAGTACCATGGTTATGGATATTCGCTTTCCTTTTTGACTTTGGTTAAAGTCATTTCTTTAGTTAGTTTTCAACTTAGACTTAGAGAGGTAGTTAACTCTGTGTAAGTATCATGGTTATGATACTTACTTCCCCTTTGGAACCTTGATCGTTATCAAGAGTTCTTCATCCCTAGTTAGGAGAACTACGGTTGCTCTGATTCCATCCTAGTCAGGATACGTAGGCACGAGATGCGACGCCTTGGCGAGCATACTTAGTGTATATACCCTTAGGTCTTTACCTTAGCACAGTTCCTTAACAAGCAAACATTAACATAACTCAAACACTAACAAGAGGTTCCTGTAGAGTACTACAGATACTTAGGATGCTAACACCTTCCCTAGGTATAACCAACCCCCGAACCTTAGATCTCTTAGCTTCGTTGTTACGTAGCGCAATTAGGGTTTTCTTCGATCTTTACCCTTTCCTTTGGATAAATCAAAGCTCGGTGGTGAACTTTATGATTTGTGATTCGAGTTAATTTAATAGCTTGATATTCGATTCTCACCGCAACAGAAATGGCGAATTCACTAGGGAGATCTCCCCCTAAGAGGGTTAATCCCACCTTGTTTGTATTTGTGTTATTTTATATGTTTGCTTGTTTGTATATCTGTATATTTGTAAAGATCTGTATATGCCTGTTGTGCTTAGATTTTTCTGTTTACAGGGTTGTTACCTTGAGTGGTGAGGAAGTCCTATACCCAGACTTGAGTGCACCTATGATAGGATGGTGGTATATTTAAGAAGGCTTATAGGGAGTTGATTCCCGACCAAGCTGACTTGAGAAACTACCGCTCAGTGGAGGCCTTTTTTAGAGTAGATTTGTTGAACGAGTATTCGTGAAAACATTGCTACTTTCGACCTAGGAGCCCATGACACTGTGGACCTTTAGATTACATCTTTACCCCACTTTGGCCTTGTTAGGACGTAGTGCGATGACTATTATGGAGTAGTCCCGAAGTAGTTAATACGTGATACTACACTTGGACGAGACTCTCTTGAGAATATTATCGATTACCGAGTGATTTGGGAAATTGATAATATCCGAAAGATGGGTTGTTGACTCTGGGAACCTCTTAGAACCCTATTCTGCAGATACAAGAACCCATAGTACACACCTTTTGGGATGGGTAGACCATGGCTCCACGCTCGTGATCTTTAAACCTAGGCCCTTGTCTATTTGCTTGTACATATATGTATATATGTAAATATGTGTATACCTGTGTTTGTGCATCCATATATGCATTCTCGCATTCATAGATAGCCCTTTGGTTTCAAGGAATTCAAAGAATTATTCCTTTTGCAAAATCAATTGAGATCGTGGATTTTGAAGCAAAACTTTTCCAACTCCCTTGCGAGTTCCTTGAAACCATTCGGCTTGCATTTGCATTTCATGTGCATGTCATCATTTGCATGTTCATTTGCATTTCATGTGCATGTCATCATTTGCATCTTCATTTGCATTTCTCATCCTTGAGTCTCATCAATCCTTTGTCCATAACCCAGTTGACTTCCCGAAGCCAGCATTGGAGTTGAAGTAGACTTTGGAAGATCATGAATTCAGAAGGGCGGAACCAGTTTGTGACCAAAGAGGATTTTGAATTATTGAAAAGCCAGTTGGATCAGATTGTGGAAGCTATGACAACCTTGGCAAAGAGAGATGACCATGTCCAGAGGAATTTTGTGAACAATGTTGCTCAAGATCAGCCTGTGCAGACTCCTGTTGGGAATCAGATTATACAAGAACATACCATTGTCCGAGATAGACATTCCTCTTCTCTTGATGATACCGACTATCATACTTTTGCATTTTCGGTGCCAAATTCTCAAGAGGCAATCCCTGTGATGGAGCCCAAGGACCCACAATACGTTGAGATTATGGAGAAGTGTCTTGCGTTGGAAAAGAAACTTGATATCATTAAGGGTCGTGACTCTGCTGATTTGAATGCTTTGAACATGTGTTTGGCACCCGACCTTGTGATGCCGCCTAAGTTCAAGACGCCAAAGTTTGAAAAGTACAAAGGAGATAGCTGTCTGAAGCAGCATTTGGTGATGTATTGCAGAAGAATGACTTCACATGTCCGCAATTACAGGCTCATGATCCACTATTTCCAAGACAGTCTGAGTGGGGCATCACAAAATTGGTATATGCAGCTAGAGAGCAACAACATTCAATCGTGGTCAGATCTAGCTAGTGCCTTTGTGAAGCAATACAACTACAATCTTGACTTGGCTCTCAGTCGCTTGCATTTTCTAGATTTGTCTCAAGAAGACAATGAATCCTTCAGAAGCTATGCTCAGAGATGGAGAGAAATAGCTGCTCGTGTCCAACCACCACTTTTGGATAAGGAATTAGCTGACTGGTTCGTGGATACCTTGCAAGGTCCATACCGATAGAAGCCGTTCAAAATTGTGACTTCTAATTTCTCAGACTTGTTAATAGCTGGAGAGCGCATCGAGAGCGGTCTCAAGAGTGGAAAAATCCGAAACACTTCGAACACCCTATCTAATGAGAGCGAATCAGTTGTCAGTTCTCAAGAAGAATTGAAGG